CCTAAAGGACCTTGAGGTCCTGCTGGATTCCCTGTACTTCCTGGTAGACCTGGTCCTCCACTTGGTCCGGCTGGGCCAACATCTCCTGGCGGTCCCAGTGGTCCATTTGGCCCTGGAGGTCCTGAAGGTCCACGTGGACCAGCTGGTCCCGGTGGACCGGGAGGCAGTTGAGGTCCAGGGGGTCCTGGAGGACCTGGTGGTCCCATGTCTCCGTTTGGACCAGGTGATCCCATTGGTCCGYTTGGTCCATTTGGTCCGTTTGGTCCTTGACATCCAGCTGGGTTGCCCTTACATCCTCCAATTCCTCCCCCACCTGGACTACCTTGTTGTCCGGCTTCACCAGGTGGTCCAAGTGGTCCATTAGGTCCTGGGGGTCCATTAGGACCTGGGGGTCCTGGGGGTCCCGGAGGGCCTGGTGGCATTTGAACTCCAGGAGGTCCGGGTGGACCTGGTGGTCCGCTGTCCCCTGTTGGACCAGCTGGACCTGTAGCTCCAAGAGGGCCCGGGGGACCGGTTGGTCCAATGGTTCCGGCTGGGTTACCAGGCGGCCCTGGCGGCCCAGGAATCCCAGGATTACCAGGTAATCCTGCAGGTCCTTTTGGGCCTTGTGGTCCTTGCTGTCCGGGAGGTCCAATTGGTCCATCAGGACCAGGTGGTCCAGGGGATGGAGGCGGCGGTGGGGGTGGAGGCGGAGGTGGTGGAGCTTGAGTGCAACAAGTAAGAGTACAAGCTGGGGCACATTCTGAAGAACATCCTCCTCCACAGGTTTCAGCTTGTCTTTTATAAACTACAACACAAAAGTATCAAAGCACAACATAACGTTTCAATTACATTCAAATCGATATATATGAAGATCAGTAATTTTAATGAAAAAAATGGTTATTATTACAAAGTGTTGTATTCTAAAATTGTAGTATTCTAGTATTGTTATTTAAAATTGAGTTTAAACGATACCATGGTTTGGAGAGATAAATACAGGTCAATGGAAGTCTATGTATTTGAAACAAGGAAATGGCTTTATGGATTTATTGAAAACAGGTGATGCATGAGAAATATCAAACAACACTCAACTTACATTTTTTGGTAGATCGACAATTGGCCAAGGATAATAAAACCAGTAGAACAAAACCTACGCGAAGAAGCATCTTACTAGCCTATCGAGATAAAATAAGAAACGTTAGTATTTAATTTTTACCAGTACAATTATAAGATATCGTAGTTTTGTACCTTGGCCGAAGTCGGGTCATTGGTTAAGTTGCTTAGTCGGAATTAAGATTTACGCCTCAATTTAGTGTTAGACCAGCAAAATGCAGTAAAATAAAACAAATTATTATTGTCATAACATTCCATCGAACTTTCTTAATATGACACAAATGTTCTTTTGAAAAATAACAACTTATCCCAACCAACGGTGGTGGAATCATCTAATATCAATACTCTTGCATAAAAATCCTCTTCTTTGATGATAATATAATTCACGATTTCATTTTAAATCTACATAATAAATTCTTTAAAGCTAATATATTTTTCGTTGTCTAATACGAGTAAAAATCCGCAAGATTGTTTTATGATTTGGTTCGCACGACTTCTAAGGACAATATTTACATTTTCTGATCATAATAAGAAATCAAGAATACTATAACTAAAAAAAATCACATTGGCGACCGCCTAGGCTTTAAAAACTTTACCTCGATTAGAGTTTCGATTAAAAACCAACCATCGATAAAAGCCTTTGATTTTCTTCGTTTCCAGTTCGTTTGAAATGATGTTTTGATGACAAAGGCATAAGCTTTACGTGTCCTTTTGTTAATTATTTAGTGAAATCAGACAAGAGTACCTGATACTCTTCCAAAAAAGTCGTTCATTAAGCAGGTGGCGTATTCTAAGAGTTGTCTAGTTGGTTTGGATTACCGTGTCGTCCTCAAAATGTAGTTGAAAAGATAAAATTGAAACCAATTCCAATATAATTCTTTTCATAAAAAGGAAATTGGAATACTTAAGTACGAAAAGTTATGAAATAATAAGCAATCCTTACTATAACTATGACCTTTTTCCAGATTTTCCCCTTACAAATAAAATCATAGCGATCATTGGAAATTTTTTTCCATAACCAAGTAAAGTCGTACTCAAAAAAAGGAGCGACAGAAACCTGCGGATCTTTTTCGACAATATACAATTTCTTATAGTCGTGGAGGAAGTTTTGTTTGCATTTATTTGGTTCATAACAGGCAGGTTACAAATTATGTTTAGTCGTGGTCTCATCTTCTCTCTATTTTTATTCAGACTACGATATTTAACTTACCATTTTCTTATGAATTAAAATCCCAACACATTTTCTAAAATACTAGCTTTTCAAAAGAGACGATATCTCTATATTTATTTGTAAATTTATAGCTAATGAGGTTTCGTATACTTACCGGTACATTAGTCTTGCACTTCCAGGTCTTGATGCTCTCGGATGATTCAAAATTGAATTGAACTGACCTCTTTCTACGCATGTGCAGTTCAAGTCAAACGTATACGGAAGTAAGCTCATATGATATTTCTATATATTTGACATAAATTGTGCTAATGCTACGATTTTCATAAATATACTCTTTGCGATCGCTATGACCTGAAACCTGGTACCATTTCTTGTGTTTTAAATGATTTTAAAGTCGGTTTCACATTACTTTACACGATCGGATTCCCAAGTTCGGAATGTTCGGAAGTTGGTGACCAACTTCGCTTACCAAAAAATTGCCGTTTCAAGCGCGACATTTGCTCTGGTCTTCTTCTATTAAACAAATTTGTAATATCGCTTTGTTGTCCGTGGTCTGAACATCAAACGGTATAGAAGAACGACAAGAGTTTTCTCTGGTATCTAAAATAGTATCTAGAAGAATAACTCCACAAAAACTTCAAGTAAATTTAAAGAATCGTACCTACGAGCTTGTAATCACTGGAAAGGCAGGGGTTTCTTATATAATGCAAAATAACCATTTTCAACACTTAAAACCAACTGATTTATAATCTGTACCATCTAATAGACAAGAAAAAAATATTTTGACAGTCATTGAATGAAACAAACAATAAATAAAGCGATTTTTCTGTTTTGCATATAATTAAATATACTGAATAAATTAGATATATGTATAAATGTATACTACAACTGTTCTGCAATCGAGTGTATATATATATATATATATATATATATATATATAGTTCCAAACTTCGGCGGAAAGTTCAAAAGTTTACTAACGAATTTTCGAACTCGTTTCGAAGTTGGTCGCCTACTTGGGAATTTCCGAACATGGTTCGCGGTACCCGATCGTGTATTGTAATGCAGGGGAAGGCACTGCGGGTCACTTCTCAGTAACAGGGTTTAGTGTAGGATTGAGTTCTTATGTCATCTTCATTTCCTTTCCTTTTATTTTATTTTGTTTCATTTCATTTCATTTCATTTTTTGCTGTAGTCAGTAAATTGATAAGTAAGGATTTTGAGATTAATAATATACTAAGAAACGATACAGACAGTAATTCACGGCGTTTCAAGGTCATGCTGACCTCATTATCAAGTGTGTTTAATGGAACTAAATCTTGACTATTTATAAACTAAACGAATATTTAGATTTTACAAAAAGAGCTTGGCCTTGAGGGAATCAGACTGAACATTAAGTGATGGCTTTTTTGAATAAATAAAAAGCATTTCATAAACAAGGCATTCGAACTTGCTCGTGCGTTTCTTAATCACATTAACGTTCGATGACGAGTCCCCAGGGGTGGTACAATGATCGTTTTTGCAATGTTTATACATTGACGATTGACTGAGTTCATATTCTTCTATGCGCTCATGTAAATGGCGCTTAGTGTAACCGATATTACCTGCATCGCACAGGTCACATTTAAATTGGTGGACGACACGTTGGTTGTTAACGAGTGGTGGTTTTTTCCTCTTTCTCTCTAATGATCACGTCAATGCTTTTGCTGACAAAAACAGGTTGAATAGATAGTTTCATTTTGTTTTGACAAATGAGTGGTTTGCTTCTTAACCTGATCAGCTGAACGTTGATCTTTGAACGGCAGAAATATTCTGACTATGTTTTTGTCGTCGGTTATTGGTGAATCGGTTTGTTCTCTGTTCTTTGAGTCCATGAAACGTCATATAATCGATGTAATTAGTTGTTGTGGATACTTTAACTTGAGAAAAAGTTTTTCAAGATGATTACATTCCTCTGTGAATACTTTCCATGATGATGATATGCGATATCCCCTTTCAAGTATATTAGTGATTAACCTGCGTATGTAGCGGTCAGTCAGTAAATTGTAAGAGCAAAAGACAAACCTTAATTGAGTGAGTAAGACTTTATAAAATAAAGTTCTTAGTCTGTTCTTTAGTAAATATATTATTATATTTTATGACAAAGCGTCAGAAAAAAATAGATAATAGATAAAAAGTTAATAGATCGGTATTCTTCGTTTGCACGTTACGTCAACGCGGCCATGTTGGTACCATTTAACAAAAGATTTCTCATTATCATCCATTGTTAACGGTACCACAATGGCCGCCATGTTTTTGTCTTTTAACTCTCTTGGGAATGCTTGCAACCCATCAATTTTTCGGTTAGAGTGGTTTTTATAAAGCCATGAAAGTACGTAGTGAGATAAGCACAATAGACTAAACAAAAGAATTAGAGTGTAATAGTTCTAAACAATCTTAAGTCGGGTTTATAAATAAAGGTTCAAAACATAGGGCGAGGGCTTTCATTGAAATTCAAGACCGAGGGCGCAGCCCGAGGTCTTGAATTTCAATGAAACTCCGAACCCGTAGTTTTAAACTGGTTTAATAACCAGCCATGCCCCAATTCTATTGTTTTAATGGGACAGGTCTTGAATTTCAAATTCAAAACCTGGCCCGGGTTTTGAATTCAGCCTCGCTCTCCCCTGCTTTAAGAATGTAGGTCTTACTCTGGGTTTYAAAACCTACATAAAACAATAGAATTGGGGCGTGGCTGGTTATTAAAAACCACTCTAAACTCAACCTGGTTCGTTCAGGTTTTTTTCTAATGCCATAATATTGTGTAAAATTCTTTATATTAGACCTTTTTGCTTAACTTATTACTATTTTTGAATTTATTGCAAATTAAAACAATAGACCGTTTTCTCAAGGTTGCGTGCGCATCAAAATGTAAGGAATTCGACGGGCCACGATACCAGAATACAAGTATTATCATGCATGGTTTTTTTGATAAGAATTCATGAAATCGATTATTCTTCTCTTTGAATATAAAACTGTTTTCTCAATTTTACTGAATATGCGTTTTTCAGTTTTGTGGCCCGTCAAGTGGGATGTGCACGCAACCTTAAGGAAAGGGTCCATAGATGACAACAAAATTTGTACGGAATGTAAATTCATTTTTTTAGTGTGTCATGCCGTACTTCAATTGCTTCGCTTGTGTTAATGTCGATAGGTTGGTATAGTTAACAAAAAGGAATTCAAAATATAAATACTGTCAAAGTGAAAAAATAGTGAAAGATAGTGAAAAAATAGTAAAAATTAGTGTCAACGTCAAAACCCGCCTTACAGGATCTCTTCCTAATATTGATGGTTTTCAAACACTTGAGAGTCAAAAGACATTCAAGTGGACAAATACAAATAAACCTAATGAGAAGTGTTTCGTTAAAGTCCACCAGATGACGTTACGTGAAAACGAAGAAATTGTATGTGTTAAAATCGTTTATAATAGACTTTGTTTTGCTTAATTTAAGTACTATTTTTGAATTTCGTTCAAGATAAAAAAATAGATGACAACAAAGTTTGTGCGTAATGCGAATTCGATCTTTTTGTTGTTGTTGAATGCGTGCATGTAATTTCCTTGAACTCTATTCTTTTTTCATACCGTGTTTCATTTGGTGTTAAGACCGCTGGGATACAAGAAGTTCAATATGCGCTCTTTGATTAGTATAGAAAACAAAAGGATTTTACATTCCATACTATCTTTGTTCTCACCCATTGTTTTAGCTTGCACGAACTTCCAAAATAGTGATTAGGTACTTATCAGCCGGATCTCTGCAATATTTCAAAAACGAGTGCGGAGAGTGTTTCATTAGGGTTTCCAAACACGACAAAACATTTGAAAGCCCGAGGCCGTACTCCGAGTGCTTTTATTGTTTTTCGAGTGTTTGGAAACCCTAATGAAATACACAAATTTTTGGAATTACTTCTCTAATTGGTTAATAACTCATTATGCCGGAATTATTTTCTGTGCTTTTTAGCTTGTTTTTATTGTGTTATTTAATATACGTAGAGCAGTTGTATGGGAAAACATTAATAAAATATAAATGCAAACCAACTTTGGCAGCAAATTCCTCGTGGGCATAGTTGATAAAGAGGCAAAAGGAAAAGAAAAAGGTAACTACGTAAGTAGATAGTAAATTGAAGGTGAAAGTAGATAGTAGATAAAATGTAGGTAATGAAGGGGAGAGAAATAAAGAAATGGGTGGAAATTGGATGAGAAATTCTTCTAGCTATTTTTCAGGACACCGACGGCAAATATGTAGTAGATTAAGAAATATTTTCAGCACTAGTGCTGAAAATATTTCAAATACTAGGGATGAAAATGGTTTTTCATTAGGTTTCAAAATCCATCCACGTGATCCGAAAGGTGCCCATCCATAGGTTACTGAGCTTATGAATTATTAATGAGTTTGAGAACTTGATTTAAAGCCCTTATAAATTAAGATTGTCGTTTGCTTTTCTTTGATATCTCTTTTCGTTGCCGAGAAATTTATTATAGGAATCCCCAAAATCGTACTATCTCAAAGGATCCTAGTACACAAAAACTCATCAAAACATCGAATATCTCTGACATTTAATACTTACACTAAATCGAGGAGTACAACGTTTAATGTCGAAGGCAATTTTCGTTAAGCTGTCCAAATTCTACACTATCGGCTTTAAATATATATTATACAATATATAGTTTATACATGCAAATGACCAATCAATGCCAGTTCTACAATCTTTACAGGAAAAAAGTGTGATTTCTACCTTGAATATATATTCTATGCGAATTTTACAATTTAGTAGCTAGCGTTAATAATCGTTAAAGTACAAATAAAATTCGTGTTTAAAAAAAAAAAAAGAATCGAAGGAGACCTCATAAATATACTATAGTAATAAATCTGTCACCCGCCAACCGTTTAGTTCAGAACGCCACCCGGTTAGCTCAGTTGGTAAGAGCGTCTGTACCTTTACAGTTATTTGACGAGGCAACCAGTGTAATAAAATATTATTTTAAATGTCTTACGTGGGTTTTAGGATCACAATCAAAAGAACTTTTCAAATGTCAAGCTCTTGCCTTAACTATAAACTAAAGTATACTACAGTTCAAATTAATATGACAAATACATTTTTAAGAAGTGTCAAGATTAAACTGGCTCTGCTGAGCTGAATACGACATCCTGGGGTTCCAATATTGCAGCAGAGTTCCTTGGCATCTTCAGCTGGTTTGTATTGAGAGTACTCTCGTCGGCGATTCTTGGATTGCCAAACATTTTTGCAACTGATTTGCGGTACCTGGGAATGCGCCAGGCATACAGCAGAGGATTCAGCGCTGAATTCACATACAGGAATGGAATAGTCGAGCGATACAGGGCAAAATACCATCTTGTTTTGGTACAGGAAGGGCAGTATGTGGTGATGGCCACTACAGAGAACCAGGGACTGTAGGAAAACACGAAACCGAGAATGACAAAGAAGGCTGTGTGAAACAGGAGTCTTTCTCTTTTCAGCTGTTGAACTTCCCGCATCCTTTGCTGTTGCGAAGCGGCAGGCATGACACTGGTACTCTTGGAACTCCTGAGTCTTTTCCTAAGTGCAATGTAGGTTGCCAAATAACAAATGGTGATGAGAATTAGGGGACTGATGAAGAATCCATAATAACTGATGTACTCAAAGATGACCTTGTCTAAAGCAAGTTCTATGATACTTGCTAGAAAGCCCACCGTGCAGCAAACCAAGGCACAGATATTGACGTTTTTGATAATGACATAGTTACGGTAGAAATGGGGCATTGCTACGGCAAGGAATCTTTCAAATGTAAAGGCAGTCACTACAAGAATACCACTTCTCACTGTAAACTGGGACACGAGCTTTTCTTGGAGCACGCCTCTTATCCTCAGTGATGGTATTCCTTGCGAGTTGAGGATACTGAAAATCCCAGCGTTGGATGCTGTAACGGTTCCTGTTAGAAAGTCTGTCACGGCTAGGCAAGCAATTAATGCCGATCCACCATTCCTAAAGCAGCGAAGAGGATCGCGAAAAACGGTGATCAGAAGAACACCGTTTGTCAGGGATGTGACAAGAGCGATTACCAGAAGAACCATCCCATTCCACAGTAGGACTTCGCAGTGAAAACTATCCATGGGTAGAAGACGGGAAGAACTGTTAGACCAGCAAGCCAAGTAAACATCTTTAAGGCTTAGGTCGAAATTTCTGTATTTCCGTCGCTTTTGTTCATCTTACTGCGTCATGAATTTTATAATGGCAGTTAATGAAGGCAGAAAAAGATGTTTGAGCTCACTTCAACTAATGGTCTTTTACCATATTTTTCTTTTGTTTCTCTGCGTTTTCTCTCTTTCTTTTACGAAAACGATTAAGAGCGTATTAAAGAACGCATCATTTACTTTTTTGTACTAAATATTGGCTCATTGTTGTTGAGTCTTGGGCAATATGATAAAACTGAAGAACAGGAAATAAATAGAGCATTTGTCTTAATTTTTAGACGAACAATTTCGAAAAAACCTATTGTACTACGCATGCATGCCGATTATCAATTAAGTCAAGAGCAGCTGTTTGTGGTTTGCAAAGGCCCCAATTAAAATAAGTGTTTTTACTCTTTTGAAAACTGAAAATGTGTTATATTGAGATGCATTAAAATATTTTCTATATGGTATACTGTATAGTATTCGCTAAGGAGATGAATAACATTTTATTTTGGTCAACTTTCTTAGGATTGACTCGGGAATGATTGGTATATATAGTATATGGTCAATACATAGTATATCTATACTCAATCCCAAGAAAGTTCAAACGGTTTAGACATCGAGTTTCGTGAGTCGAAAATTATTGCGAATGTCAAGACCTATTGTTTGAGCTGAGTTTCGATGTCTAAACTGGGGCTAAGAAGCTGATCTTGTTGAGCAACAATATCGTTAAAATAGAGAGTATGCGGCACGTTACAGTCACTTTAAAGATAGAAAATGTCTACGATCACCACCATACTAGAATAAAAAACCGGCACGAATAGTTTGCGTATGAAATTTTGAAATTGTATCTAAAAAGATAAAAAATTTGTTACATTATGTTGATCGTCAATGTGACAAGATAAGGTATCAGTAATGCGTCTGACCCCGTGTCCACATTTTCTATCACGATCCATATTTTCTCGGGTCCAGTCCGGTCCATATTCTAGACCAAGCCGATCCCGATTCCAAGCAAGTGATTGCTGATCCCACATCCCTCGTCACGAGGTTTTACATTATATTTTAATTTCGATTTATCACAATTCCACAACCAATTCAAGCAAAAAAGTAATAGAAACATTCAGCAGATCCAGTCTTTTTCACTTTTTTAATTTATATTGTCATTCTGTTGGGTTCCCTGTGTTATTGTTACTAGCTTGTAACCAAATATGTTAGTTGATTGATTACATGCAGACTCAGATAGGGGACGCTTGTTGAATAAAAGGATACGTTAAAACCAACTTCACACATTCTAGTCGCACTAACCAGATAATTCATACTTGCCTCAGCTATGCTAATTCTATGTATGAGTTAGTCATGAGCCCTGAGTACAGTTTCCTGCGCCATTTTTAGTAAAAGGTAGCCATGCCTGTGCATCGAAGCGAAAACGGCGATGGCTCTTCTGGATATCTGTGGATCGTGAGGCTTGTTGACGGAGGTCAGGACCTCTTCAGATCGCGTCTGGGAAATAGCGCAGCGCGGTTATACTAAAAATAGATGTCACGAGATCGGACCCCCCGCATGACTCAGACAAACAGAACACAAAGGTCATAGTAAATGTAAAGCGGTTTTCATTACGCTCGCTAGTTTCTTTATATTTTCTCGTCGTTTTTTTTGACAAAATGGTCAGTACGAAATATTGCTGCTGGGGAAGATGTAATAGTGATTCAAGATACCCCGATAGACTTCCA